GGGCAAGCATTACCAGTTTGGTCCATCAGCAACCCGTTCTTGTAATATTGCCACAACCTGTGGAGCACCAGTCTCTGAGTCCACTCATGCAATGAGTCCCTCGTTCAGTGTTTCTCTCATTCAATCATTCGTCATTCGCATTTGGCGCCTTTGGATGTAAAAGATCCAGAAATCGAATATGTAAATTTCCACCTCCAGGAGCTATATGGGGGTGGGGGGAAGAAGACAAAAATGGATGATTTCACCAGTCTGAGAAGTGCTCTGATGAGGATTAATTAAGCAAAGGAGGAGGCATCTAATGCAAATTATGAGTTGGTGTGGTCAGGATGACTTCCTAGAGGAGACCCTGCTACACCATCAGTGGAGAAGACTTGGGGAGAAAACCTAAATAATTTATCTGGTGATATAAAGCACTATTTTTCTATGAAAGTATTCATTAAAGATTATGAAGTAGAATGAAGTAGGATGCAAAATTCCACATGAATTTTCAATATAAAACAAGATATTTCAAAGAAATTTCCTGGACACAAAATGTGTATAACCCCAGACTCTCCAGATCCCTCTGACTGTGACATGAGTTTCTTTCCTCTGTGTTCAGCTTCCATCATTAGTGAATATTAGTGAATGTTAATTAGGGAATCAGTCTCTGGGAAAACATTTAAACTCCTTCAAGACCTTTCATAGTGGGACCCTCTGCCCCAGCAGCTTTGTCCTGCATTGTCCTACACTCTCTCTGTTCTCCACACAGTAGCTACTTACAGATCCTCAAACAATAAACGATATGCCAAGCTGGTTCATGCCTTTGTGATTTCTCCGCAAGCTGCTCCCTTTGCCTGGAATGCCCTTGCCCACATATCCATCTGGCAAACTCCTACTCATCATTCAAGACCCAGCTCAAAGGGCTCCTTTTCTGTGAAGCCTTCCCAACAGGCCCGAGCAGAATGAGTCAGTTCCTCCCATACACCACTCTTTGGTGTCTGTGTCCCCCTCTTTGGTTGAGATTTCTCTATTTCACTTTTTCTCTAATTTGATTATGGGAGCTTGGAGAGGAGAGACTGTATTATTTATATCTGTATCCCTAGCCCTAAGCATAGCATCTGGCATGGTAGGTGTCTATATTTTGTGGAAAGGAGCAAATGACAAAACTTATTTTAACTCCTTTCTTCTCTTTTGTTTTTAGAGTCCAGATAGGGAGATCAACATTTTCTTATAAACTTTGGAAAATGGTAAGAAAAATACTCACCACATAGGGAAAAAAAAAATCTCATTTAACCTTTTTGTAGACATTCATATCTTCTAACCCGTATAGTTCTACTGAGAACTCTGCAGATCAGTGTGGTTCTTTGACCTCGAGGCACTAGTAGACGTAGTCAGGTGGTGAAAGCACAGTGGTGCTAAAACCAGTGACACCACTTTCTAAGAGTGTACACGGCAGGACCTTAAACCTTCGTGGACTCCTGTACCCTACCCAGGACATTTCATGCAGAGGGTATGACATATGCAAAAATTCAGGAGTGAGAAAGACAGGCATGTCCATTGAGCAGGTGAGACACTGGCTGATGGTAGAGTGTATAAAAGAAGGAAGGGAAATGGAATGGAAAAATATTCTGAGTCTACTTTTGGTTGTAAAAGGCCTTATACCCAAAGTATAGAGAAATTTGATTTTTTTTTTTCCTCCTATAGGCAGTGGAGAGCCCAAAGGTCAGACTGTGGTCCCCAAAACAAATCATGTACAGACCTTGACCCTCTCTTTTGATGTCCCTAAAGACCTGACCTGGCTCAGTATCTACTTCTGGGGCTTTCTCCACGTGGGCAAGCATTACCAGTTTGGTCCATCAGCAACCCGTTCTTGTAATATTGCCACAACCTGTGGAGCACCAGTCTCTGAGTCCACTCATGCAATGAGTCCCTCGTTCAGTGTTTCTCTCATTCAATCATTCGTCATTCGCATTTGGCGCCTTTGGATGTAAAAGATCCAGAAATCGAATATGTAAATTTCCACCTCCAGGAGCTATATGGGGGTGGGGGGAAGAAGACAAAAATGGATGATTTCACCAGTCTGAGAAGTGCTCTGATGAGGATTAATTAAGCAAAGGAGGAGGCATCTAATGCAAATTATGAGTTGGTGTGGTCAGGATGACTTCCTAGAGGAGACCCTGCTACACCATCAGTGGAGAAGACTTGGGGAGAAAACCTAAATAATTTATCTGGTGATATAAAGCACTATTTTTCTATGAAAGTATTCATTAAAGATTATGAAGTAGAATGAAGTAGGATGCAAAATTCCACATGAATTTTCAATATAAAACAAGATATTTCAAAGAAATTTCCTGGACACAAAATGTGTATAACCCCAGACTCTCCAGATCCCTCTGACTGTGACATGAGTTTCTTTCCTCTGTGTTCAGCTTCCAACATTAGTGAATATTAGTGAATGTTAATTAGGGAATCAGTCTCTGGGAAAACATTTAAACTCCTTCAAGACCTTTCATAGTGGGACCCTCTGCCCCAGCAGCTTTGTCCTGCATTGTCCTACACTCTCTCTGTTCTCCACACAGTAGCTACTTACAGATCCTCAAACAATAAACGATATGCCAAGCTGGTTCATGCCTTTGTGATTTCTCCGCAAGCTGCTCCCTTTGCCTGGAATGCCCTTGCCCACATATCCATCTGGCAAACTCCTACTCATCATTCAAGACCCAGCTCAAAGGGCTCCTTTTCTGTGAAGCCTTCCCAACAGGCCCGAGCAGAATGAGTCAGTTCCTCCCATACACCACTCTTTGGTGTCTGTGTCCCCCTCTTTGGTTGAGATTTCTCTATTTCACTTTTTCTCTAATTTGATTATGGGAGCTTGGAGAGGAGAGACTGTATTATTTATATCTGTATCCCTAGCCCTAAGCATAGCATCTGGCATGGTAGGTGTCTATATTTTGTGGAAAGGAGCAAATGACAAAACTTATTTTAACTCCTTTCTTCTCTTTTGTTTTTAGAGTCCAGATAGGGAGATCAACATTTTCTTATAAACTTTGGAAAATGGTAAGAAAAATACTCACCACATAGGGAAAAAAAAAATCTCATTTAACCTTTTTGTAGACATTCATATCTTCTAACCCGTATAGTTCTACTGAGAACTCTGCAGATCAGTGTGGTTCTTTGACCTCGAGGCACTAGTAGACGTAGTCAGGTGGTGAAAGCACAGTGGTGCTAAAACCAGTGACACCACTTTCTAAGAGTGTACACGGCAGGACCTTAAACCTTCGTGGACTCCTGTACCCTACCCAGGACATTTCATGCAGAGGGTATGACATATGCAAAAATTCAGGAGTGAGAAAGACAGGCATGTCCATTGAGCAGGTGAGACACTGGCTGATGGTAGAGTGTATAAAAGAAGGAAGGGAAATGGAATGGAAAAATATTCTGAGTCTACTTTTGGTTGTAAAAGGCCTTATACCCAAAGTATAGAGAAATTTGATTTTTTTTTTTCCTCCTATAGGCAGTAGAGAGCCATCAAAGGTCAGGCTGTGTTCATTAGGTTTACAGTTTCACTACTTAAGAAGCTGGTTTTTTTAGTTGCAGAAACTTCTCAACAATTAGGAAACACTGCCATCATGTGGCTTTTGGGTGATGCATGCTCCAAACTATACATTGTTGAATTTTCTATGATTTTGTTTAATAATTAAACCAAAGAACACATCTCTTGATTCAAATAGCTGAAGTAAAATAATGGTAATCTTAATCCTTAAAGATACCTTTTTATAAACACTTTCAAGAAATCAATACCTGGGTTCAATTCTCGGATTTCTTACTTTGTTTTTAAAATTTTAATCTCTAAGTCTTTAGTGATTCTGATCACAAGGATCCTTTCCATTCCCAGTAACCCCTATCTTAGAATTATAAACTGTCTTGGAAAAGGCTCTTCCGTTTCCAGGCCAATTTGGTATCAAACTGTCTCCAAGCCATCTCCCTCCACTGTGGCAGATTCTATTTCAGTCCTAGGTCTTCTTGTACGATCTTCTTGTTCTCCTTGTATAGCCCCGCAGTTGGACAGACCCAAATTCAAATATTTCCACCATTTTTTTAGCTGAGCGATTTGGGCAATTCACCTAACCTCTGGAAGCTTCAGTTACTTCATCTCTAAAATGAGGGCAACACCATCTTCACAGCGTTATTGTGAGGATGAAAAGATGCAATGTATAAAGAGCGCCTGGCACATCACGGCCCCGCATAATAAGGAAATCCTCTTCTTTCCCCTGAGTCCTTGCCAGCATATTATTGTTGAGCACGAAACGAGCACTCTGTGGAGGTCTGTGATTTGATATCCAAGATTTACCTGGTCTTCCAGCAACGTTTCCTGAAAACAAAACTACTCATCCCCTCAGGTCTTGGGGTACCACCTCTATTTCAGTGCGTTGCCTACCGACCTTGTGCTTGCTGAGGACTGCTATCCACACGGCTCCTCGGTGCGCTGCAGGCGGCAGGTGCGTAGGCCTGGGTGGGGCGGGTGGCATTCATTTCTCGCCCGCTCCCTTTTCCCGGAGTGTGTGTGTGTGTAATTTAATGCCTGTGGAACTCTGCTTCTGGCCTCAACCTCAGCTCGGTGGATTGGCTGTTTCAGCTCGCCCCCGCCCTCCGTACCACAGTGTCCCAGGTGGTTCAGGTCCCTGCGGAGACCTCTGTTTACAGAGAGAGCTGGTCCAACTTAGGCTCCATCTCTGCACTCGCTCCCCTCTGGGGCCCTGCCCTCCCGGGAAGAGGGGAGAAACCCGGCTGAGCCATTCCTCGCCCTTTCCCTCCTCACACCGCCCGGAGAGGTCGGGTAAGGGGTTAGGGTTATGTGGGGGAGGGGGGTCCCAGGTCAAGGGTATCAGCTGTCAGTCCTTTCGGGTACCTCATGTGGACACGGGAGTTTTATCCCTAGACCCAGCTCCTGCTCCCTCTGCCCCCGCCCTATAGTGCTCAGGGTGATGTGCCCTTCCTGAGCAAGTAGCCAGATCTCAATGATGCCAGGTTCCTAGAGGAGGCACAGACATGGAGACTTCATTCACAGGTGTTCCCCCTCCCTCAGACGGCGATGACTCCCAAGCCGGACGGACCCCCGGACGGGGGCTGGGGCTGGGTGGTGGCGGCTGCAGCCTTCGCGGTGAATGGGCTCTCCTATGGGCTGTTACGTTCTCTGGGCCTTGCCCTCCCTGACTTCGCGGAGCATTTTGATCGAACCGCTCAGGACACTGCGTGGGTCAGCGCTTTGGCCCTAGCCGTGCAGCAGGCAGCGAGTGAGGGAGGCCCCAAGGTGGGGGTGGGGGGAAGGAACGGGGGTGGAGGGACTGTGAGTTTAGTGATGGGGACCCACCTGATTACCAGATAACCTGAGAAAGGGCAATGGGTGGAACCAAGTTCTAGAAGAGTGGGTCATGAGGTTAAGGCAAGCAACTATTAGGCTGGGGGAGGAATTCTAGGCAAGGCAAACAGCCAAAGAGAAGTGCTGGGGCGAGTTTCGGGGCCCAGGGCCGCGTCTTCCGTTTACTCCGCTTCCTTTTAGGCCCAGTGGGCAGCGCCCTGAGCACCCGCTGGGGGGCGCGCCCCGTAGTGATGGTTGGAGGCATCCTCACCTCGCTCGGCTTCGTCTTCTCGGCTTTCGCCCGCAGTCTGCTGCACCTCTACCTTGGCCTTGGCGTCCTTGCTGGTGAGGGAAGAGGCTACCTGGGTTTTTAAGGGGTGATGGCGAACATAGGAGCTTGTTGGGTACTGGAGTCCAACTGGGCAGGGGCCTCCTCCTGGAGAAGGCCTGGGGTTGCTGCGCAGGCATCCCCACTCCTCACCCGGTCTTATCCATTCACAGGCTCCGGCTGGGCCCTGGTCTTCGCGCCTGCGCTCGGGACTCTCTCGCGTTACTTCTCCCGCCGTCGAGTCTTGGCCGTGGGCCTGGCGCTCACCGGCAACGGGGCCTCCTCGCTGCTCCTGGCGCCCGCCTTGCAACTCCTCCTGGATACTTTCGGCTGGCGGGGGGCCCTGCTCCTCCTTGGCGCCATTACTCTCCACCTCACCCCTTGTGGTGCTCTGCTGCGACCTCTGACGCTTCCTGGCGACCCTCCGGTTCCACCCCGCGGACCCCTAGCTGCCCTTGGCCTGGGTCTCTTCACACGCCGGGCCTTTTTAGTTTTTGCTCTGGGCACTGCCCTTGTGGGGGGCGGGTACTTCGTCCCCTATGTTCACTTGGCCCCTCACGCCTTAGACCGGGGCCTGGGTGGGTACAGGGCAGCGCTGGTGGTGGCAGTAGCTGCGGTGGCGGATGCGGGCGCCCGGCTGGTCTGTGGGTGGCTGGCAGACCAGGGCTGGGTGCCCCTCCCGCGGCTGCTGGCAGTGTTTGGGGCTCTGACTGGGCTGGCGCTGCTGGCTGTGGGGTTGGTGCCAGTAGTGGGGGGCAAGGAGGGCTGGGGGGGCTCCCTGCTGGCCACGGCTGGGGCCTACGGGCTGAGCGCCGGCAGTTACGCCCCTCTGGTTTTCGGTGTACTCCCCGGGCTAGTGGGCATTGGAGGTGTTGTACAGGCCACAGGGCTGGTGATGATGCTGATGAGCCTCGGAGGGCTTCTGGGCCCCCCGCTGTCAGGTAAGGGCCTGAGCCAGTAGGTCCCCTTGCCACCATCCTCTGCCCCTAGGGTCTGAGCTCTCTAAATTCCTTTCCCCTTCCTCCCAGGCTTCCTAAGGGATGAGACTGGAGACTTCACTGCCTCCTTCCTCGTGTGTGGCTCTTTGGTCTTCTCTGGCAGCTTCATCTACATGGGGTTGCCTGGGGCATTGCCCTCCTGTCATCCAACTTCAAGTCCAGCCACTCCTCCCCCTGAGAGGGGAGAGCTGCTCCAGGTTCCTCAGGTTGCCCAACTCTCTCCAGGGGGCCCTCAGTCCATTCTGGACACCACTTGTTGACCATTTTCTTTTGGTGTGAGCCCCTCCCCTAATAAAGAATTTCTGGTTTTCCTGCAAGCTCTAATTGTTAGCCAACCTAGAATGCTGAAAACTTTCTACTTAAGGTATTCAAAAAGGCTGGTTAAAAGAAACAGGATCTCACTAAGCCCTGGGGGAGGGGAGGGGTATCTGTCCAGCCAGTCCATTTCTCTTCAGCCAAGTTGTTACCATTATAACAGGGAATCTTTGAGAAGTTGTCTGCCCGTCAACTGTAGTTTGCATGAGGGGGAGGAGGACTCATGGGTGCTACTTGCCCCATCCTCATTTCCCTTACTTAAAACTCTTTCTTAAATCTCAATGTCCTTCTACTGGCCTGAGGTAAATACAAGAATCCTAGACCCAGACTTCAGCTCTCTCGGCTTTAGCTCCGTCTTTCAAACTATCCACCACACACACACACACACACACACACACACACACACACACACACACACACACTGTATCCCCACCGTTCTCTTAATTTCTTT